ATTATAAAAAAAAGTATCAAAATTATTAAAAATATATATATAATTGCATAATTATTCTCTAACAACAATTATTTTCTATAAAAAAATAAAATAATTTTAAAAAGAAAAAAAATGAGCACAATAATTTTATAAATTAAAAAATTTTATACAGTATCTAATCTTTAAAAAGATGTTGATACACAAACAAATTTTTTTTATATGAATACTAAAAACCCAAATAAATATTTGATTCAGCGCATGTAGGTCAATTAAAATAATTGCAGAGTCATAAATGAAGCATTTCATGTAATCCATATTCGGCGATAATATGAGACCAAGTTTTTACTTCAATAATCTCGTGATTGCAAAGTATATATATGTATATCCTGTAAAGAAAGTACTCAACAAAAACATTCTCATAATTTTTTTCGAATCAACGGGGGGAATTTGAACAGACCATCAATATGATTGCAGTAAAAAATTGTAACAAATTATTCCACATCAAATAATATATAATATTATAAAAGTTAGTATTATAAAATTAAAACTGAATTTTGTATTATTTAATTACATACAGATTTGAGTAGAGATTTTTTAAATTTTAGGCTGTCTTCTTCTTGTTTGTTTTTAAAATTTATTATATCGATACATGAAAATCTATATTTGGAACAGATAGGAAGAAATGATAACGATGCAAATCAGAATACTTTGAAAGGTTACCGGATGATATCCTGAAAAGGAATCAGATTCAGACTATGTGTTGGGTTCATAAATTTTGCTGGTAATGCTCAGCAATGGCTTGACTAATAGGACGTCTAGCTGCGTCTTTCGAGGCGATCGAAGTTCAACCAGCTAGTTCAAGTTAGCTTCGTATTCAGATCTCAAAGAAGGTGGTAAAGTAACCACCCTATGGCAGAGCATTTTCTGCTTTAGTAGTGGCAGCACGTAGGTTTCGTAGTGGGGGTGCTTCGAAGGCTTAAAAGGCCTTCCAACGTCCTTGTAACACGCAGTCTGAGAATCAAACATACTAGTATTCCGCGTAAGTGGATCGAAAGTGCGAAGAACAATCTCATCTAACTTTGTCGTCGTGGGTTCAGCCAGACTTTCATCGGAGTGATCTGGTATATTGTAAGCCGAGATTAATTCGTTAGAAAGACAAAGCGAATAGTTTGGGGTGAAAAAATCGAGGTGAAGAAATTAAAAATCTAAGCAGGAAAGGAAGTGATTTTTTTCTTGCGAATTTTTATTAGAGTTTTGATTTGTGATTTGTGACCAAATAAGTGGTAATAATTAAATATTATTTGCATAAAGACCGAGAGACCATAAAAAGTGAAATGAGTCTCAAACTAATCCTGTCTGTTCTATTGGTCATATCAATCTTTTCGCCACCGATGTCCGCTGCCCTTACAACTTTTGGGAAGAGCAATCCACAGAATCAAAACACGAATCAAAACTCGAATCCACCGCCGCCACCTACACCAAGTATGTAATAAACAAAAATTTTAAACAATATATTTTAACATAATATTATGTTATTTATTTAATTAAATTTGAACTTATATGAATAAAAATTATTAAGATAATTATTAAGTATAACAATTTATAATATTATACATTCTCATACTAATTTTCATAACATACAATCTAAACTCTATTTTAAAATAGATATATAAGTTGTTATAGATAGAGAGATCTTAATATACATATATAATGAATCTGTAATCTTCTAACTTAATATTAAAAGAAAACAAAGATGCTAATGTATTTTCTACATCTTTTATTCCTTATTTCATTAATATAAATCTTTTAAAATTGTTCAAAAATTATAGTTTAGCGATTCTTAAAATAAGTCGAAAATACTCTATTATAAGTAATATTTCTATAGTCATTGTATATAAATTTAATTACGAGTATATTGTAGATATTATACAAAATGTAATTTAATTTTCACTAGGCGTAATAACTATTTTAATGCGTTAAATTATGATACTGTTCTTCCAGCTAACATATTTCAAAAACGTAACACAATTTTGAGCATGTTTTGTAAGCATTAATCGACATTTCTAGGAATATTAATGTTTAATATAATAACTCACAACTTAAAAATATAAAGAAATCTGATGCTTGAGTGTCAAGATTAAACCAAAGTATATATGAATACTAATGCTTTACTATAAATGTCAGAATTCTAATCCGCATGATTTTCAACGATCATTACAACCTTTATTGTCATTTGACGCTATATATATATATATATTTGTATAATTAAGATAATCTATAATTTAAGCAAAAATCGTATTATAAAGATAAAATATTTGTGTAAATGTTTTATCTCCACAATAACCACGTCTTATTCGTTAATAAAGGAAAATAGAACAAAAAGATTCTTTGATCATGTAAATATCAAATAAAAATTCTCTGCATTTATAAAATGATTACGTAAATATATTTAAAAATACAAATACATATATTAACATAAAGAATTATAGAAGATTTATTAAATAAGTTTAACATAAAGAAAAGCTTGCTATACAAAACGCCCTGAAAAGTTTTTGAAAAAGAATAAGTCAAAAACTATTTGCCATTTTTCCAAACAGTAATTTTCGAAATATAAAAATTTAAAACTAATCACTTACAAATTATGATTAAATGATTGTTTGAACGTAAATAGCGCATCGATAATTGGTAACTGCATGTGATGACCTTCTTGTTGTAATATTTTATTTGGCGAATTTCGAGACACTCTATATACAAGAATAAACACCGCAAGCATAACAAATGCTTCGAAATTTTGTAATTTTCCAATCCTGAATTTATTGCTGATCTCAGTTATTATCTAAATATAATTTCTAGTAATCTACTAAAATAATACCGCATAAATTTTTATGAAATCAAAAATGCATTGAACTAGTTAAAGGTCGAATAAAATTATAGTTTCTTATATAGAATATTATACATGATATTGTAATATAATTACAGCTGGTAAAGCTCGCGAATGTAAGATGGAAAGCGACTGTGCTGCAATTCAAAATACAACATGCATAGCGGATGCCCGAGATGGAAGAACTCGATGTCTTTGCGCTGATTATACAGCACCACTTAATGGTGTATGTACTAATAAACACAAAGGTAAACCAATTTTTAGAAAATTAATTTTAAGTTTATGAACAAATATATACTTTAATAGTACTTAGAAACGCTGTATAAAGTATGACATCATGTTCTATTTAATTTTCATGTATTTTCTATAAATTCTCGCATATATTTATTATGTTTGCTGCTTTAATTTTTCGAAATTAGTCAAATTTTTAGAATTTTATTTTAACCAAAAGATAATACCAAGATTTGCATAGACTTACGTGCCACATTGCAATACGTGAACACACATATGATAGTGTTCATAGTCGGTCTATGGTTATCTATGCAAATTGATACTGGTAAAGGAATACCGTCTCGACCTACCTTCAGTAGAACTCGTTTTTCTGTAGTTTCTTTTCACGACAAGAAAATGCGTGAACGTAGAACGACAATAACAGTGAAAATATAGATTTAATCAATAATCTTAAAAGAAAGAAACTGACATATAATTATTTACAGTATTTTACAAGATATAAAACATGCTCGTATATACACAGTTAAAATCGCGTCAATTAATGATAAATTATTACAAGTGACAGTAATAAACCGTACCTGGTACGATGCAGCAATAGATTTTGGAACTTTGGAAATCATATAACGTGTACGAAGCAATTTGTAGTTCGATACGTAATATTAGAGACTCGTGAAACGATCCGGAAACTCGACAATTCCATTTGATTAAATGATCACTGTGCATGTTTCTCTTCTTTCGACGAAGTTGCTGATGATTGCCTAGCGAACATTTTAAGGGTGATTAATCGTGATTACGAATCGATCGATGCTTACCATAAAAGTTGCATTTATGATTGAAAAATTAAATAGACTAGTACATTTAGGATATCTAAAATCATATACAAAATGATATAAATTGTAAATTTGATAAATATCGAAGTTTAATAAAAATAAGTTTATAAATATAGTATTTTTATATTTATTGTATATACATATATATATTGTATATCATAGGTGTTTATTGTATACATATAATTATACTTCATTTTTTAAGATGGTCAATAAGAAATTTTGTACAAAATTGAAAAATAGAGGAAAAAATCAGGCTTTATGTTTTCTATAATTATTTATATAAATTCTTAAATTGAATTAAAAATTATATTCTTATCTTTTTAGCTCTTCATACATCTTGCAATTCCGATGCAGAATGCATAGACGATGCCCAATGTGTAGTTCGTGACAGCGCATTGGGAAGACGATGTTATTGCGAAGAAGGATTTTACGAAAAATCTTTCATGTTTTGTAACGGTAAGATTTAATTCTTTCTACATTGCAAGAATTATTATTAATATGTATATTAGAAACAGTATATTATATATTTAACTATAATCTAGATATAGAAAACGTAAAAGTAACATTTATTATTACTGTTTTAATAGTACAATTCAAATATAAATTTACTTTTTGTAAAAATGTAAGTAAAATAATTATTGGTGTACAAATAAGTTTTAAAGCGCACTTTGTATAACGTATAATTTAAACTTAAACTTCAAACATTTTCACGCTTTTTTGATATGTGGAGGCGCTTACTGTGTACTATTAAAAAAAAAGTACAGCCTTTACACAATTGACCTCAAAATTAAATGGTTTTAAAATGTCGAGCGACAAGCAATTTATTCGACATTGCATTCCATACGAATTTCATCAAGGAAAAAACGCTACTAAAGCATATGAATTAACTTGTTCTGTTCTTGGAGACAATGTTGTATCCAAAAGTATGTGTGAGTTTTGGTTTAGGCGATGATTTAAAGAGGATGATTTTGATGTTAGCGATAGAGAACGTAGTGGTTACAGTAGAAGGTTACAGACAATCAATTGCAAGCATTACTCGATCAAAACTCAAATTTTTGTGTCAAACACAAAAAGAATTTGCACAGCAACTTGGAATAATTCAACAAGATATTTCAATTCGTACGGCAGATGGGAAAGATTCTGATGGAAGGAAAGTGGGTGCCGCATGCATTAAGTGAAAAAAACAAAAATAATTGTTTTGGGAAGTTTGAATCTGTATAATAAACAAAATCGGAAATCTTTCTTGTGGAAAATTGTGACTGGTGATGAAAAGTGTTTGGCCTGATGTTGATAAACCTATAAAGGAAACGTTGCTATAGCGCTTGATTGGGAAATATATACCGCACCCAGCATATAGCCCACACATAGCCCATTCAGACTATCATTTATTACGGTCAATGCAAAACGCCTTGTCCGGTGTACACTTTCGAGCATTTGAAGTGCGAAAATGGATGGATAATTTTATCGCATCGAAAGACGAAACCTTCTTCGCTTCTGGAATTCGCGAGCTGCCCGAAAGACGGCTAAAGGTCATAGATAATGGGAATTAATTTGATAATTAAGTGTTTTCGTTTTTAAATAAATAAATATTAAATTTTATTAAAAACGCTTTAAAAGTTATTTGTACAATCTAATACAATCGCAAATAATAATCAAAATAAAAATTTTCAATGTCAATAGAAAATATAAATATTAATTTCATGAAATTTTGAAGAATTCAGTGAAAAATGGATTTATCTGATTTTTTTTAAATTTTAGATAAATTAATGTAAAATATTTTATTCAGCAATAAAATATATTATAATAATTTTATTGTAAATAGACACGTTACTGTGCTTATAATTTAATAATATTAAAATTCTGTTTTTAAATTAATATTTTTTTCGTCTTTTTTCTGAAAAATAAGATATTGTATATCGATTTATACTTATGTTAAAAATTAGAAAAATATAATAATTTTCTCATTAAATACTGCGTCTATTATCTATAATTAGCAGGAAATAAAATGATGTAATAGCCTTATTTAGTTAGATTTGCAATAACATGATAGCAAAGTATGTGCTATTACAAAAGGGAAATTGAAATTTTTCTATAATAATAAAATTATCTATGAGATAATTCAATACCGCATTTTATGTATGTGCGTCATTAAAAAAGTTAAAAGCCTAAGATATTTTGATCCTTCATAGGTTGCTCATCCATCTCTACGTTGCATACAATGATTCCTTTGGCTGCGTCGCTCGTGCTTGGAAGACTTAACTACATCTAAAATATTCAATCTTTTAAAGAATTGTCTTGAACTTCTGAGTTTGTATGATAACCCACAGTAGAGAAACATTATAATTCTTCGAACCAACGAATCAAAGAGAAGTCGCTTAGAAGCACATATCAATAAACATGTTTAGTTCAAGGAAAGAGTAAAAAGTACGAATACATTTCAGAACGGTAATGCACATTTATGTGTCAAACAACTATGAACTATGAGATAACCCTTCCTTATATGCAGCATTCCAATAGTCGCGCACTTTTTCTTCAGGAAAAACAATTTTTTTCAATTAAAATTTGTTTAATTGTCATCATTATAAGCAAATTTTGAACAAATAATTATATAAAATAATATTCAGTATCAAAAAACAATTATGTAATTAAAAAGGACTAGTAAGAGTCTGATGATTAGAAACTATTTCATAAATATTCAAATAAAAATTCTTGTCCAGAATGTCCATCGCATCTTTTTATCAAAATAACGCCTTTACCGTGCGACTTCTCCGAGTAATAGAAAATGAGACAGAATATTGTTAATTAATGAATTTTTTTGTACATATGAGTATGGCTGAATAATACAGCCGAAACATGTAATGATGTTAGTAATTTAAGTAAATTGTTCGTATTTTGTGATCGTAGTTTTTTGTTTGAATATTTATGAAATCGTTTCTAATCATCAGACTCTAACTAGTCCTTTTTAATTACATAATTGTTTTTTTAAATTGAGTCTTGTTTAGTAAATTAACTTTTAGTTTGATATTCAGTATCATGTACAAACTCTAATTAACTTTTATATATATAATACTAGGTACATATATTATTATAATAATATACTATTGTATTTCATTATTTACATAATTTAGTATAAAACCTAAAAATATCAAGATTGATTTCTTTACATTGAAATAATTGTTATTATTCTTATTTCATTTATTCAGAAAAAGTATGCGGTTTCTGGAATAGTTTATATGTTGCAAATAATATATATGCAGAATATTATAGTTTTTTATTTCTTTTTTATATATTCTTATAGTGTTTTCGTGTGCAGCGAGTTTGAACACAAGTCAGTTAACTCTAAAGTACCAAGACCTCGTTTAATCAGAAAACAATGTAGAACACGTGACGTCATTAATTATCTGATCTGGGTTAAACTTACTGCATTCAAAAACGCTATTAGAAAACTGTTTCTATATTCAGTTATCTTATGGTCAATATATATATATATATACATATCAGTTTATAATCGACAGTCTTATATAGCTGGTGATAATAAGATAATATAAAATACCGTATTTTAATTTTATAGAAACAAATTTAAAAATATCTTCGGACTTTTTCTGTAAAAAAATATGGTTCAGAATTTTTAATTGTTTTTAATTTTAGAAATCCGTAAAAATAAACAATTATACTTTTCATCTAGAAAACATTATGGATATATATAACAATTATGTGATCTTATATTAAAATGTAATATAATTATTAATCTATAGTTTAAGTTCGTAGCAAAAAATTAAAAAAGTGAACGTCAATTCTAAATCACTTTTATGATTTAGAAACCAAGAATGAGTCATTCTTTCGCCGCGGAATTCGCTTGCTGCCTGAAAGATGAGAAAAAGTCATTGCTAACGATGGACAATAGTTTGATTCATATATTTTTTCATTTTGTTTCTTATAAATAAAATCATACTTTTTGCAAAAAAAAAAACGGACGAAACTTTCCGATTGACCTAATGCCTAATGTATTAAGGGATACTGGAGTCGCTTGTATTATCGATAAAACTAGCGTTTTTGACGTTTTCGTTCCTGTTTGATTTCTTCGTAGTAATTTTGCAGAATAAAAAGCAGGTGATGCTATAATTTTGTTGAGTAGTGTATTATCATCATATTACTAGATCTTTATAATACACTCTAGTTCTTAAATAATATTTGTTATTAAACAATTCCGCAAGTAACTTAAATGTTATTAAATTGAGATATTAATTTTTTTTAATTCTAAATAAAAGATAATTCTTTAAATTAATTGTAAAATAATATTTTCAAGAAGGAGGCGAATAGGAATCGTCTCAAGTATAAATAAATTATGTCTTTTCAAAATCTTTTTAAAAATTATATTATGCTATTTATTTGTTTCAAAATAAACGCTTATGACTTAAAAACTTTGTGGAAAAATCCACAAAAATAATCAAAATTTTCTAGTAAAATTATTCTGAAATGATTATCCAGAGCAAACTCAGAAAACAATTCACTCTACTTGGAAGTCAAAAGGTTAAAATGCTTACCATTAGAAAACATTGTTATGGTTGTATAATGACAATTAAATTAGGATAAACACCAAATTCATCATTTTATATAAATTTTTCTGTGTTTGTTGTGATCATATAGTATCTCCTATTTCATCATTATTTTACTACATATTCTTATTCTGTTATATAATTATAATAATACGAGTGCGAAAGACTAAAACAATATATAACATTAAATTCAGATAAAATTTATTATTAAATATTGAATTTGACTATGTTTAGAATTTGAGATAATAGAATAACGCTTTAATAGTAAATTTTTGCAGTGTACGTGATTAAGCTTCGTATTTTAATTGCACTAAAGGATATATAAATGTTCATAAAGATGCATATATTATAATATATTAAAATAGTTTATTCTTTGTCAAATTTTCCTCAATGCACAAAGTATACAATAAAGACAGAGATTCATAGAAGGACAAAATTCTCATAAAATTGCAAACAACACGCAATTACATAAATACTTTAGAATTCTGAAATTTAATAATAATTCAAATGTTCGTCAAATATTATATCAATTTTGTCTTAAATTTGCAAATGAAATAGTAAATACGTAATAATGAAATAAGTTTTTGTGAAAAGTATATATATATATATATATATACTTTTGCCAATTACAAATATAATCAATACTATAATTACTAACAGAAATACACTCAAGATAATATTTAGATAGATAATATTTACTTTTTCGCTATCGTACATTTAGTAATTACATAGATTAATCGAGTTTAATTTATTATAGTGTAAGTATCTTTTGTAAACTTTGTAATAATAGTCAAGAAAAAAACATAGCATTAGTTATTGATCACAGTCGAATGTCGTTTTATGTATTTGAATATATCTTGCACAAATAAATCCTTGAATCTTTTCGCAATACGTATTTATTTATTCTTTTGAACAAAAGAAATGCACAGTAAAAAGTAAGTATCAAAAATTTGCTTTACAAATTAGACACAACTATTTTATTTATCTTAATGTGGTACATCTGAATTTTTCGATTGTCACTTTTTTCTAAATATCAATTGTGTTACAGTGTTGCCTGTCTGCCCACCAAATTGAAACATATCCGTAGGAAGTTGACTATCAAGTTCGAAATCTGCGAACAATAATTATCACAATGTATATACATCCACAGAAATAATTTCCGTAATATTCCAAAAATAATGATGTGAAAGCAATATTTATGTTTTGTGAGAAAAATACGCCTTCGTTAACCAATGAAGAAATCGTATTGTAAATAAATGCATGATAAATTTAATTGATAAAATATTATAATAAATTAAATAATAATAATTATATGACATGCAATTAATATTTAAACTATTTAATGATTTATACTTCAACTACTTAAAATACATATATATCAACCTCGACTACAACAATAGATCATTTGGTTGTCTATGTATTTTCAAAAAATTTAGCAATTATATCATTCGATGGAGCAAAGTTTCAGCTCTAAAATCATTTTTTAATTGTAATACAATGTTTTTTAATAGAGTTATAAGTAATCTAAGTGCTTCTTTTATTTAAACCGCGATAAATCAAAGAATCTTAAGAAAATTGAAAAAAAGTTTTTGTATAGGAAAAATTTAAGCTTTCATCAAAAATTTTTGCAAACTTTCCTTTGCACCCAACAGGTCACAAAGTAAAAAAAATTGCCATTTTGCTCAGCTTGTTATTTTCCTTATATAAAAGTTTTCTATATGTAAAAGTTACTAAACTCACGGAAACACGAAAAACAGTGGACTTTTTGAAAGTAGAGATTTAGCTTTAATACCCTTTTCTTTAATTTAACTTCGTTCATTTTTAACAAAGTTACAGCTGTTTCAATTGTAAAGTTCGTAGCACTACAAATTTTTGTTCCACCTCGATACTATGAGCCTTTAAATTATAGCTAAAAAAAATTTGAACCTTCCTCTATAAATCGCCATAAGATTAAAGTTCACATGCATTCTGTACTTCAAATTCAGGATGTTTTAGAACTTAAGTGTAGTTGTCATAGCTGTAGTTGAAGATTAAAATATCAATTGCAATAATAATTATACTAACGACTCGCAAAATGCTTCAGCAATTCTTCTTTGGTCCAATTGCAAGATGTCAGGACGAAATATCCTCTTGGCAGAAGAATGCGATATATATTTTCTATATATTTCTGTCTCTTTTCCATCGGATTCTCTGGATTTAAACTAATAGCGTCGTAAGTGCCTTTATCATGAACGACTTTAAAATCATGCGGCAATGTGTTGTCAAGTATATTACAAATCTCTATCTTTACATTCGACAAATTGTTATCGTTCAACACCATGCGGGCCAGATCTATTGCTTTTTGTGAGTAATCCACCCCCGTCAAGTTTGTGAATCCTTCTTTCGCGAGTTCCACCAAAGTCATTGCATTACCGCATCCTATGTCTATTATCTTATCGTTCTCTTTGTTTAAATTCAATTTTGTGGCGATCCATCTAGAAAATAACTTCCTTCATATAAATTCTCAAATTTTCAAATTATATGATCAACGATTTTTATTTATTTTTGTTTAATTTAAATATTTAAAAAACATAATATACTTAATAGAGATTATATTTTATCCTGATAGCGAAGTCTGCCGAGACAGATTTTGAGCAGAGACTGCTATCAATTTTTAATTACAGAAAGACAACAAAATTATACACAATTAGAGAACTCTAGAACTCTTCGGGGGGCAACCAGAACTCTGCTTATTTTTTCAAAATTTTGAC